TCGTGGTGAAACAGCAAATGCATTGGTGAAAGATAATAACTGGTGCATGGTCCATCATGGTTGAAAGATTCTAAGATCAATGGCCTGAGCAGAAAGTTTAAAGTAGAAACTGCTATTCAAAATTTGGAACATTTAAGCACTTATGTTCGGTAACTATTCCAGAAGAAGAAATACGTTAGAACATTACCAAATCAGCAGTCTCGAAAATTGTTGAGAGTTACAGCTTGGGTAAAGCGGTTTGTCTCCAAGCTAAGAAACGTGCCTGTGAAGAAGGTCCTCTTACTGTATTGGAGATCCAAGAAACTGAGGAGTGTTTGGAAAAACAAGTACAGAGAGCGAATTATTACTTTCGGATATTCACAATTAGAAAGGAATAATCTAATAACACAGATTCTAAGCTTACAGTTTAGCACCATACTGACATACAGTTTTTGCATGTCAGAGGTCGTTTGGAACAAGCAGAATTATAGATGACGAAAACATCCCATTATCTGCCCAAATGAAGTTTACCCGAACTAGTGATATTTAGTGAACACATAAAATTATTAAATTCAGGAGTCATGGCAACATTGTCCAAAGTCAGGAATAAATTTTGGATACCTAAAGGAAGACAAGTATAAAGAAAGTTATAACGCTTGCCTGCTGTGTAAAAGTTTGGCAGGAAGCCCGCCAAACATTAACGGTCAGTTACCCAGAGATCGTGTAGTCCAAAGTAATTCTTTCACAGTTGTAGGCATCGCTTAACGGGAGCAGTTACTATTAGAGAAAAAGCGGGTAACCACAAAAAAGTGTACATACCTTATTTACATGCGCCGTCACTCGTGCGTACACATTGAAGTGGTTTCAGATATGTCGCAAAAAGTTTCATTTTTTCATTACGACGTTTTGCAGAAGAGGGAGCTGCAAAGTGATTTATTTCAGATAATGCCAAGAATTTACGCAGCACATGTGAAATAATTAAAGGATTTAAAAGAATCAAAGCAGATCCAAGTGTGAGTGATTTTCTTGACATCCAAAGAGGTAACATGGAAATTCATACCTGAGCGTTCTCCATGGTGGGGAGGGTTTCTGGAGCGTTGATGAGAAGCATCAAGGAACCTCTGAAGAAAATCTTAGGAAGAGCATTACTGACTTTCGAAGAGCTCTCTACAATATTAACTGAACTCGAGTGTGTGCTAAATAATAGACCTTTAACATACGAGAGCAACGAGCTGGGTGAACCTCGCCCGCTTCACACCTTCACAGTTTTTATTGCCAGGACGTGGTACATTTAACTTTTCCGAGCATTTCTTGGAAATTTTTAACAAGGTATTTGACAAAGAGACTTTAACCAGGAGGAAGCTTTACCAATCTAAGCTCTTAAAATTAACATGGATCACGTGGAAAGAACAATATTTACTCCATCTTAGAAATGCGCATAACTTTGCTAATCCTAAAACTGACAGAACATTAAGACTGGAGACGTTGTGTTGGTAGAAGGACTAAAACAATCCAAACTACTTTGGGACATGGGTGTAATTGAAAACGTGATTATAGAAAGAGATGGACATGTTCGAGCGTGCCTCGTTCGCACGCCCAAAGGACAATATAGAAGATCGATCCAGATTTTATGTCCTTTTGAGATTTAATTTAGAACTTTGATATTATTGAGTTTTATTATATTATTAATTATTATGTTCATTTGTGGCTTTGATATATACTAGTATAGATAATTCTTTTATATTATTCATTTATATATGTCATACCATTTAGTATTAATCCATTATTAATTAATGTTGATATTGTTATGTAAGTAAGTTTGTGTACTCTTATTAAAGAGTACAGGTGGGGAGTGATGTAGAAAAAGAGATAGAGGGTGCTGCACCACCCATATGTGTAGCTAATTAAGAGTTTTCTCCAGACAGGGTTGAGAGGTGGTTGAGAGTGGCATAAACTAGATACTCTGTAATCTGTACTATATAATATTTGTACATAGTCTTCTCTTCATTAAATAGATTTAGTTAAAGGAAAGCATCTTTGTTTGGCCAATAAACACAAGAACCACCGATAATAGAAGATGTAAGTAAGTTATTACATTTAGTTCGCACTGACAAAAAAGAATATACTTTTTCTTTCACAAACTTCTGTTAAAAATATGTGCAAATATAGCTTAAAAACAAATATATTACAAACTGTGAAGTAATAAATAAATTAAATGAATGAAACTCATAAATGAACATGGATTTGCAAGAGAGTCTCAAGGTTTGGGAAAATATTTAAAAATTAAAAAAATCACAAATAGTCCTGCATTGCAGAAGTTTTTTTAACCTGCCTATTTACAGCACTTAAGAACATTTTTTATCATTATAATTTTAGCTAAGCAGATTTTCCCATCTTTTCCTTAGAAATACTGTGAATTCACATTCAGTCACTTTACATGTAAGCTGTGCACTTGCTGACTGACTTTTGCAAACTTGCACATACCAGGGTAAATGATGGGAGAAGGGATGGGAAAAGCTCTCGGCCTGACAATGAAAGACTGCAACTTTCAGTTAAAAAATGATTTTATTCTACATGATCTCTCTTGACTTCAACACACTTTGTCCAGCTTTTCTCCAACATCAGTATTCCTTCCCAGAAGTGAAAGTCTGGAAGGTCGTGAAAATATTCATCTATGACACTCTTAATTTCTTCATTCTATAGGAAGCACTTCCCAGAAACAAATTTCTTCAAGTTTGGAAACAGATGGAAGTCTGAGGGTGCCAAATCCAGAGAACAGTGGGATGGCCGTGCAAATCATACCCCAAATCCCACAATTGTCCCATCGCCAATGCACCCTTGTGCACAGGTGCATTGTCCTGGTGAAAGATGATTTTTTCCTTCTTCAAGACAGGCCTCTTCTCGTGAATTTTGGCATCCAGCTGGTCAACCAGGTTGGAATAATATTTGCCTGTAATTGTTCTCCCTTTCACAAAGTAATCAATTAACAGGATCCCTTTCACATCCAAAAACACATTAGCCATGACACTTTCCGGCAGATGCAATTCATTTCGCTTGAATTGGCGCTGAACCACCGGCTTCCACCCACTGCTTGAACTGTTGTTTCGTTTCTGGTGTGTAGTGATGGACCCATGTCTTATCCATGATGACAAATCACCGCACAAAATCGGTAGGATTCCTGTTGAATCAGTCCAAAGATTGCTGCGGAAATTGTTTGCGCATTTGCTTTTGATCGGTATTCAGCAAATGTGGCACCCATCTTGCACAGAGCTTTTACAACCGTAATTCTTTATGCAAGATATTCCACACCCTTTCTTCCGATATCCCCACAGCTTCAGCTATCTCACACACCTTCATTTTTCTATCATCCAACATGATATCATGCACTTTTTCGATGGTTTCCAGTGTGGTTTCGGTTTTTGGCCGTCCTTCATGTGGGTCATTTTCGAGGGATGTGCAACCACATTTAAATTCAGCTTCCCACTTTTTAATGGTTGACATGAAAGGAACAGAGTCCCCATAAAATTTTATCAACTTCAGAGGTATTTCCTTAGGGCTTAATCCATAAGAATTTTATGACTGCACGATATTCAAGTTTATCCATTTGAATGAATAACATGCATAATGTCTACTGTGAAAATTCGTGTAAACAAACTACTTGACAGAACATGTTGAAACTTGTCATGCAAACTAATGACACCTGTATCTAGGCAGGAAACATAAATTTTTGCTGATTGGAACACCGTATCACGGCAAGAACTTTTCATCTTACCCTCGTATGTCTTCACTTCCTGCACACTGTGTAGTACAGAATACTACATATAAAACATTCACCATGATCCATTTAATGTACTGAGGAAATACAATATTTTTGTTCTACTGTTATTTTTTTACATATAGTAAAATCTTTTGAGAAAATATCAATAGAACATGTATACGCATTCAAAACTTCCTTCATTACTGATAGAAATTAAATGGTAAATTTTTGTCAGGCTTAAAAATATCCTGGAATGATATACTACAACAGTGCTGGATGTAACTATATCACCACAGATAAATCCTATTTGCTTGATTTATTTCTTTAAAATTCATGAAACAATTTTTAGAAAATTTGTATATGTTTAATTACTGTTATTGCATCTTATTTTAAATTAAACAGAGGGAACAAATGAAAGCATAGTTGTAAAGCATGAAGCATTAAAAAGAAGCAGCTGCTAATAAAAAATAATTCACAAACACTAGATACACATAGATATCACATGAGCAATGTAAATCATACATCAAATTATTCTAATACCAGTTAAAAGAGTTCCACATACATTTGCAGACAGCTATTGCCTTGTTGATTCAGTCTCAAATTAAAAAGTCTGAAAGTATGATTATTCAACAATGGTACAGTAAGGGCTTTTGTTGATAAACATATATCTCATATATTAAAGTGATAGGTAAGGAACATTTAATTCATTTTTGTTTTTGGCTCAAGAGCACAAAAAACAGTAATGTGTAATCATGTGAGAGTGAAATTGATTAGGATTTATACTTCGAAACAACTATAAAAGTTATCAAAACTCCTTGCATTTTCCAACCGGCCGAGCGGTAAAGTCGCTGAACACTGGTAGTTCGGTCCGAGGTTCGAATCATGCGAACGGGCTGGCTGCATGGGTGTTTCCGTGGTTTTCCCCATGTGTAATGTGTATACAAGCCAGTTTCCCTTAGAAAAGTCCTCTACGAAGGCATCCCTCCCCTTAGGCAGATGGCCCATGAGGCTTTGCCGTAGTTAAATAACCTAACCTAACCAAACCTTGCATTTTTGAAGTGATAAACAGAAATCTTTAAAGAAAATTAAAGAAATTAGGAAATATTGTAAACAGAAGAATATATAGATGGCAGATCTTGCCAGTTCTGAAAATTTAAGTGAATCACTGTTAATTGGTTCCAATAATTTTGGACTACCATTACTAAGAAAGTAAAACAAATGCTACGATCTTTAGAGGGAATGAAAAAGAAACTGAAATATGTATTCAAAAGATTTGAAACCTAGAGCAACCAGATCGATCAACTAGTTCAAACCCTAATAAAATTAAAGTACAGTTTAAAATTTAAAAAAAAATTATTCAATTTAGAAAGTTTAGGAATCACATGTTATGATAATTTACCATAAGATGAGGTTTTAAAGGAATTCAAATACAGTCAAAAGTCTTTAATTCGGACTCGTCGGGACTTCGGCGATTCCGGATTATAGATCATCAATTTAAATCTGGTAAGATGCCATGCAGAAATTATAAAATTAAAAATATGAAAACGTAATTTATGAAATAAAGAGCAATTATGATCTAAAGGGTATCAAAATTTACTAAAAAAAAGCTTTATATTTATTTGTTTACTTTATTAAACATTTCTTTCAACATGCGCATGCGTAAAGCATACATTACGCATGGTCGAAATTAGAAAATTGCAACCAGAAAACTATTTGATGTGTATTCGTGATATTTATAATGACGAGGAATTTGATATAAATCATATCAAAGACGGAGTACATCGAGATGAAATACTATATTTAGTAAGGAACTACAAGCCGAATAACATAAAAACATCTGCCCTGACGATAAGGATAGTGCTAACAGATCAATTTCCAGTTCATTGCGTGCTGCGCCCTCCCCCCCCCCAATCCGGCAGAGCAGCTTGAAATTGATAAACATATTTTGGAATGATTAGAGAATCAAAGGATATGCCTTCATCCATTTTTTGCAGAAATTCCACTTTTTGTCTGATGGACATTGAAACATGCTTTCGCTTTGTAGATCCTTTGGTAGCTCCAGAATCGGAAATTCTTTTTCCATAATCGAAATTTCAAGCTTACTCATAAAATTGCTCTAACAGTCTGCAAAAAATAATAAGCCGGATCCAATTAGAAGATTAAGGAACATCGCAATCTGCAACATTAACTGAAATAGATAATTAGATAATTTTAGCTTAGCTTATACCCGTCCATTATACGTTAAACGCGCATGCGTAAACGTATTATGCGCATGTGTAAAGGAATTACACGCACGTGTTAATGCTTTATGCGTTGACGCATGCACAGAAAGTTTGTAGCTTTGAGGCCCGGATTATAGATCATTCCAGATTATGGAAGTCCGGATTAAAGACTTTTGACTGTATTCTGTAAAAATGAACCAATGACAATCTTCCACAAGTCAGTCTTTGCCTCATCAAGCAGTAATTTGTGAAGATAAACTAACTACAAAAATACGGATAATTTTTTTATATGTATATTGTAATGAATGCTTTTTCTCTTAATGACTATTTGAATTCAGATTTCTTAGAACTGCTTTTGTAATTTAGGTTGAACAGGATTGCTTTGACATATGATACTGAAAATGCATACCTGCAGATTGTTATTAGCTCTGGAAGACAGAATTTCTGTAGATTATGGATGGTAATAACATGAAACCAGAAATTCTACAAATGATTTAGGCGAGTTTTGGACTATGGTTAAACACATTTTAGCTAAATGCAACTTTTTAACAACCACATAAAAAATTATGCAGAAGATTACCCAGCCACATTCCGAATCCTGAGTAATAAATTATACGTTGACGATCTTATTCATAGTTTGCAAGATGGAGAATTTGTTTTAAAGTATATCAGCAGGTGATGTTTATTTTAGGGTGTCTTCAATATCAGAAAGTGGGGAACCAGTGGCGTAGCTAGGGTGGGGCAAGGGATAACATCTGTCCCCGGGCGCAGCATCCAGGGAGCGCCAAATTAATGCTACAAAATTTTTTAATGAAATGTTTTCTATTCTTGGCACACAGAAAGGGGCACAAATTCTTCAGTTGTCCCCGGGTGCTGGAATACTAGCTACGATACTGTGGGGAACAAATATACAGCTACTTTAAGATAAATTTACAAGAAAATTGTTGCAGATTATACTGTAAGATACTTGAATACTGCTGGAATTCTCAGGAAGATTGTATAACCATAGATTATGAAAAATTAATGAATATAAAGAATATGTATGAATTTAAAGAGCAGTGTGATAAGACCTGTTGTAAAAATATTTGACCAAATTGAATTTACAGTTAGAGAAGAAATGATACTTCAAGCAATCTGGAAAGGATGATTAAACTGGGATGGCCCCTTACCACCAAATTTAACAAAAACAAATCTAGATCAGTGTGAAGAACTACACTACTAGTACAAAGGAATGTAGTTATATTACCACTGCATTTACTTGCATCAAAAGAAACAGATAAATTAACTGGCAACTTGTTTCATATATACAATTATATAAATATATATTACTTTACAGTGATTAAAGTTGAAAAACTAGTTAAGATTTAGTAGCCTAAAAACTAAGAATTGCGACAGTGAATGAAGTTATATTGCCTAGATTGGAGCATTGTGCAGCTTCTGTAGAAGCTAGATTATTTCAGTATATTTGGAACAACTTGAAACATTTGACAGCTATTTAAATTTTATTTCTGGTTTGACTTCATGATTATTCTTCTCTGGATTAAAGGCACTCTCCACAGTCGAGAGTGATAGTACTAAACAAAGTTAAAGAAATTACAATTCTTTCTAATTTGAAATGATGAAATCACTGCTCAAGAAAATAAAAGTCTGTGGTTTTGCTGCTTAGAGGAGACAACCTGGCTGCTTTGAATGACAAGAAACTCTGGTGGAATGCACCACTCTATATCAGGAAAGATGAAGATCATTAGCTGCAACGAAGTAATGAAATTTCCTATTTGGATGAATCCAAGACAAAAGATTCATTGGTTTCTATGTAGAAATTGAAATAGAAACTCTTTTTGACATAAAAATGTTACATTCTGAACAAAGTATTATAACTCACAGCTTTGATTCAGGGATTTATTTACAATGTGAAGAATTCACATGAAAGGAAGAATGTCTGCTTACTTACAGAAAAAGTTCGGCTGGCTAAAGAATATTTGATTGAAAGGATGCAGATAGAATACTTTCCTTAAGAATATTTGGCTCTAACCAAAGGATAACCAGTGCCACAAATTCTTTCATTACACTGTAGAAAAAAAGAGGAATAATTTAAATAGGAGAATGTCTTCAGTATGTTAATATTTTTCCTTCAAGAAGCATATCCAGTTTTGTTGCCAAGTCATTCTAAAGACTCTACACAACATGCAAAGCACCACATTTCAAATGCTTCCCCATTATCTCGCAAAAGCGTGATAGAGATTCATTAATAAATGCGAGAGCTATTTTCCCCCCATGCTGCATAACATTTGTAATGTGCACAGCTGAAGAACTCATAAAAATCATTTTTAAGGGCCACTTTTGCTTTTGTTTTGTAAAAATAGATGTAATTTAACAAAATTTAACAGAATTAAAAATTTAATATGATATTAAATTAATTAATGGATTTATTTTCAGTTAAGTAGTCTTAATTATTCAGATTTATTTTCATATTTAGAAAGAGCAATTAATGTCACCATCTACAATTTAATGACACATCTAAGAAACAAATAGCTAGTTAAAAGTATTAGATCACAAACTATATCATTATTAAATTATGAGTGTTATATATATATATAAGCATTTTATGCCAGAAATTTCATGCTAAATCAATGACTCAGATTCCCACGCCAAAATTACAGTGAACACATTCTTGCACTTAAGTCTGATTTTCTTTCTCAGGGAATTAATAAAAATAGTATATTTTTAGGAGAAAAAAGAAAAAAAAAGTCTTTAATACTTACTTTGTAAAATCAGGTTCTTAACATTAGTATGAACAGCATTTTTCACACATGCAAATAATTCATACTGGCCATCTACAGGTCTGATATCTTCAGTATTTGATGAAGGCGGAAGTGGATACAAAAAACAACTACAAACAGAAAATAAAAATATTATAAACTATAAAATATCATGTTAGGTTTTTAAAAAGAAAATAATTATTTACAATAAATATGGCATTAACTATTAAATTGAGAACAAAAAAAAAAATTATTTTTAAAATAAAAAATTGGTACTTAAAATAGATTTTTTAAATAATTTTCAATTAACATTTTATCAAGTTATGAGTTGTTATTCATTTCAGAATGATAAAGAAAAGCAGAAAAAATGTAAAACAATGAGGTTTGAAGCATAAGATACAATATAATGAAAAAAAATTATTTTCTCTCCTCCAAAAAAATAAAATTACAATAACATTTATTCCTGATGGCTGCAGAAACACTCATAATGATCCCACTTCAATTAATGCTATTCATTCTGATTCTGAAACTAAATGCATATATTTTCTTTTATTCGATAAATATAGAGTTCTAAGGAAAAACACTGCAAGTAATTCTGCATAAATAATTATAACAACAACAGCAGAGACAAAAAAAGAAATATGGATGTATTTTTAATAACAAGTCAAGCCTGTTATTAAAAATAATCAATATAAAAGAAAATAAATGAGAAAGAAGGTACAAGAAGGGAGGTGTTCCACCTTCACATCTTATGAACTTCCAACTTAATCTTTTAAAAACTCACCATTGGTAGCATATTTGGCTTAAAAAAAAAAAAAAAAAAAAAAAAAAAAAAAAGAAAGTGAAAGGACATGATTGAAACACAAAATAGAATACAAAGAAAATAATGTTTATCATTTTAAAACTGTTATTCAAATTTTAAATAATACTATTAAAATTAAAAAATTATACAGGTTCATACACATTTCTTACATGAAAATTAAGGACTTTTAAGGACCATCAAAGAAAAAATTAAGGACCTATCAGCAAACAAAAAAAAAAAATAGAATAAAGCAAATTATCCATACAACCGACTTCATGCTTGTAATTTCACTTTAAGAAACTAACAGAAGTGTGTATTATGCACTATTATTAAATTCACTTTAATACTTACCATAAAACAATTTTGAAAATTAAACTAACTCCCTACAAGTTATGAAGTAGATAACATTAAATTAGGAACATAATTTCTTTAAAAACATGTATAAGTGTATTTTACACTAATAACAGTCACTATTTTAGAGATTTACATGATTATTATTTAACTTATTTGATATTTATTTAAACACAGTCAACTACTATTATAATCACAATGTAAGAATATTTTGCAGATTAAAATAACTGATTTGTAAACATACAATTTATTTCCTTGGTTTTTTGAAAGATACTAGAATAATAAACTGTACAATAAAAGATACAAAACATTTGTGCTTTTTTTAAATCTGAAATCTTTTCAGCTATTTTAACATCTAATTTATTTATGTCTATTTCCTTTTCTTTAACTATTCTTCTAAGTTCATTTGCTTTGATAAACAAATCAATGTTCATGCTGGTCTCAGCTTCATCTGCTAAAGCATCTACTTCTTCATTAATATCTTTAATGTCCCTTTGAAGAAATTTTTTCTTCTGCTTCATATAATCAATTTCTTCCTCAATGATATTTCTTTTCCTCTTTGAATTTTCAGATTTAGTTAAAGATTTTTGTTCTTCTAAATACTGCATATATTTAGACCTTGCAGAAGCTGCTGCTGATCTCATTTCTTTATTAATTTCGATATTAAGAACAACTCCAGAAAATTTTATGTAATCAAATACTGTGCGTTGAAAAATGTATGATGAGTCACTTAAATTTTCAATTTCAATTGCTTTATTTACAGAGAAGCCCCTTTCCACAGAGGCCTGTCCATGTGACAAGATAAGAATCATTTTCACTATTTTCCATACTTTTGAATAGTGAAAATCATGAAAATAAGAAGTGAGAAATGTGTCAAGAGAAAGATTTTGAGGATCAAAAGTAGAAAATTCATGTAAATTTGTCTTAACTACTTTGTCTAGAAACTCTCCAAACTGCAGCAGAATTTCATCCCAATCATCTTGTAAAACACGTTTATTCTGCATTAATACCGTTAGAACTATTTTCATTTTGTTCTGGGCTTTTTCTGGACTTTTAACCATCAATCGCGGGTCTATACAAGATGCATTTCGAATAAGAGAATAATTTATTGGACATTTAGACATTAAGTGTTGTACTATTGTTAAGACACATTGTTGACCTTGTTTCAATGCAAAACTTTCAGCTTGTGAAATGTCCTTCTTGCGGCATTTATCATTCATTAACTGCTCAGCAATGAATCCCAAATAAACTTTACTTTTATCATTATAACAATTTGGATCATTAAAATTAAATTTATAAAGATTTTCTGCTTTAGTTATTTTTGAATATTCTAGTTTCAAAATTTTAAAGTGCTGAAGGCAATCATTTACAAGTTTTAAGATATCTTCAGCAAAAAAGGGAATAAGTGGTTTATCACTTTGATAATATTCAAGGAAAGGCAATAATATTTTCGACAGAGAGAGAAAAAAATTTAATTTTATAAGAAATGTTTTATCTTTAGTTGCCTCCAAAATATTTGAGAAGGATTTCGATGAATTTTTTTTTAAACTTCCCCATTTCAACTTCTTTAATGTACAGTAGCAAGTCATCCCATATTTCAATGGCTCTTTCAACTGCTGGGACATTTTGCAACCATCGGTAAAAGCAGAACTTCACAGGTAGCTTTTTTAAGCCAGATATACTTAAAAAATCTTCACGTCTTGCAGGAGAATCTTTAAAAATCCATCCAATATAAGGAGGATAAGAATGATGGAATGTCCCAGCCAGTGGATGACATCCTATGCTTGAAAGCATTGTTAAGAATGTGTAAACCACATGTCCCTAATGTCAAGCATTGAATGTTATATTCCTTTGTCAAGTCCTGTTGCAATAAATCATAAAATTTCCAGTTTACTGCAGGACCATCCATCGATATTTGTAAGAGTTTTGACAAGTCTAGTTTTTCAACACATTCATAAAATTTGGATAAAATAATTTCACTTGTTGCATGCCCTATAAATGCAGAAGTAAGGTACTGAGTTCTGACCTTATTTTCGTGATGCCAGTACCTCACATAAATATCTAGTTGCTTCTTTTGATTTGTCAGATTAAGAGTCTCATCAAATAGTAATGTAAAAAACTCAGCATTTTTACAATGCTTTAGTAACAAAGTTTTAAAATAAGGGCCAAGACCAAAATAACAGATATAAGCACATTTCTTTTCACCACATGAAAACTATTTTGCAATGGAACTATCCGGGAACATTTTAGTGAATAAAGGCCCAATATCATCGCACGATTTAAAAGAATAGTGGCTTTTGATGCACTTAAAAGCCCACAATATTTCTGCATCTGTAACTTCAGATTTGAAAAGAAAAGAATTTATTTTATTATTTTCTACACTTATTGATGTTGAATTAGCAGTTACATCTTTTCCTGAAGTAGATGGTTCTTCTAACTTGACAAAATTCATGATACTGTTAGAAGAAACTCTGCAGTTGAGAAGGGAAAGATGTTTTGCAGCTAAAAGGGGCATTACATGCAAGGCATTAGTAAAATTAAGTATCGCATATATATGTATATAATGTATATCTATCTATCTATATATATATATATATATATAATAAGAAATATATATATATATATAATATAAATGTATACTGAAAATATATTTTTAATATATCCTATATATATATATACAGATCCGGACATCCAATATCTGGAATGATCTAAAATCCGGACCTCAAAGCCACCACCAACCAATTTTTTAGGGCTTTTTTGGAGGGAAGGGGTATGCTTTACGCATGCGCATTAGATTTTTTTCCTCATCATAAAAAAAAACATGTCCGGAAATCCCGATTCTTAATCTCAGTTTGGCGCTAAATAAAATATCTCATTATTGAAGAAAGAAATAATTATTTTAGCATAAATTTGTGTGATTAGTAACTTGACTCCATAGCTGCGTATCTGCTATCTGCTTGGCATAATCTCAAACCGAAAACATTTGTTAATTTTACACCAACTAATATTTTATATCCTTGATGCCGAAATCGCGAATCATTATTTATTGTATTTTGCTTTCATCACCGCATGTTTATCAACGGATGACAACTTGAGTGATGACTCATGCAGCGACGCCAAATAACAGAGTATTATCCGATTACAGATTTAAGTTTAATGCGCTAAAATGTTGACAAGGGGAGATTTAACAGAAATTTCTTTCCTTATGCTGAAAATAGATTTTGTTAATGATACTCATAGGACAAACGATTATATTTAGTGCTATTTGAATTAAGAATAACTGATTTGTTATTCACATAAAGCCAGAACCAGCGCCAGAGCTTGCATGGCCGCACCAGGCGGCAGAATTTAGGGAAGTTAAACAGAAGTTTTTCATTGCGATGACAATGCCCCAATCATCAATCAATTAACGGAGGGCGAAAAATCTGTAGTATGGTTCTAAATCCAGAAAATACAGCTACCGATAGTGAAGAAGAAGAAAGTAACAGAGAGGTTACTGAACGAGAAAAAATTTTGATTGACAAGTTATTCGGAATTCTCGACACAGCAATTACAGGACTTGAACAATGGAACTTAATAACTCAACAAGAAATTATATGTCTATAGTATTAGTCTAAAGTATCAGCAGAGAAAACAAATCAAACAACTCACATTGAAAGAAATGTTTAATAAAGTAAACATATAAATATTAAGCTCTTTTCTTTTGTAAATTTTGATACCCTTTAAATCATAAATGCTTCATTATTTCATAAATCACGATTTCATATTTTCAATTTTATAATTTCTACGTGCCATCTTAGTAGATTTAAAATGATCTAATATCCGGAAAAATCTCAAATCTGGGATCGCCGAAGTCCCGACCTCGGACTTTGTACTGTATAAATATATATATACAGAATGTATATTTTCAGTTAAACTTCTACCCAATAACTTTTTAGTAATTCATGAAAGTTAATTTTGCGTCTAGTTAATTCAGGAAAATTAGTTTCAATTAGTTGTTTTCAGCTTTAAAAATACTAAAAAATTTTTAATTAGTTAGTTGTTTTCAACTAATAATTGTATCGCCATTAGCAAAAATAATGCATTACTATCAACAGCGCAGGATTAAACCAAATACTTAATTGTCTATTGAAGCTTCAAAACGTATTTCCGAACTTCACTTTTTCTCGGCTAGCGTTACCGAATTTGCCCTTGGCGACCTAAAATCGAAATGGAGCCAACAGATTTCCCGCGAAATCGATAACAGACCCTCTGCAGAAATAAACTCATAATCCCGATATCCCATACATATAGTATGTGCAAAAGAGAATAAACTCCGTAGAAGGTGATAAAAAAAAAATTAATTTATGGCTTAATTGAAAACAAACACAGAAATTAAGCTAAGCAAAACCGTGTAAAAACAAATTGAAATGATAAAACGAAACTTAATTTTCATGTGAATTTTTCAGCGCTGACTCTCCCATTATAGAAATTTCAATTTGTTTCAGACAAAGACCACATTTAGCTTTATAAGGATTGTCATCCATCAATATCCAGTCTTTGTAGTCAGCTTGATGAAGCCACAGTTTATTGAAAATGCACTTTCCAGGCATCTCGTTCCTATTGGCGTCGGAAGGGTTGTGGCCTTCCAGGTTGGGATTGCTTCTAATTTTGGCAAATATTTTCAGAATCCCCCCCCTCCTTTTTTTTTTTTACGAGCACCTTCATCATCACTTTCGCCTCTTAAAGAACTTCCGGCTTCACGCTTTCGTCACAATCTGCCTAAATTTATGGATAACACCTGTTTCGAAAGATTGGGTGAATAGCCAATCAGACACCGATACTTTCGTTCGGGTAGCTAATTGGTTTTTTTTTTTTTATTTTATTTATTTTTTATTTATTTTATTTTATTTATTTATTTATTTATTATTTTTTTATTTTTTTTATTTATTTTATTTTATTTTTTTATTTTTTTTTTTTTTTTTTTTTTAAGTTTACAACGCAAATCCGCCAACAAATTGGTTAAGAGCCGTGCAATTTTAATTTCATATTCATGAGAAATCGCAATTCACACACAGAATGGCAATCATTAGAAATGATAAGAAATGTCAAATGAGCAAAATTAAGGACTGTTTATTCATTTTGGCCAAAATTAAGGACTTTTAAGGACCAAAAATCATTTTTGAAAAATTAAGGACTTTTAAGGACCGTACGAACCCTGTTTAAGAAATAAAACACTTGTCATCACTGTCATGATTCATTATTCTTACCCGTGATATAGTCCAAAAACTATTCTATTATGTTAGTCAAAGACTGACAATTTTACAGAAATTTCAGAAAAAGAGGTTAAAATAGTTTCAATTAGGCAATAACTAGTATTATATACTAGCTTATATGCTTCATCCAAAGTGCATGAAATCTAAATTATCAAATAGGAGAGATGAAAATGCTATGCTGTTTCAAGAAAATAAACCCACATTTTGTGTCATCGCTTTTCACACAAAAATCAGTTCTTTTCCCTTTCACAGCTAATTTGTTTCTTTACCAATGAAGTCCTACAGCCTTTTGACATGGTGGTCTAATTTGTTGATACGAAAAAGGAACAGTAATAATGCTTGTTTGCACAACGAGACTAGCATCTTCAAATACCAGTGGGTTCCAAAGAACATCCTCTACCTTTTCATTTACTAACAACAAATTAAGAAATTCTTTTACTAAAACAGCAGGAAAATTGGTTTTCTGCAATAAATATCTTTGAGGGAATGATCAGGCAGAACTTGAGTGCTACATCATCTTTGAATGATTATTGCAAATATTACTGCTAAACTTGTTTTATTATAACATACACTTTCTTACACTACCCTATTCTCATGTGTAAAAGTTGCACTCTTAAGTTTTAAATCTAATTAAAAAAATAATAATAATAATTCTCAAAAATAAGCTGTTGATAGGTAAATTTCACCCAATAACAACAAATTTTATACCCAATCACTAAATTGCTGCTGTGTAGCCACATAATGCCTTATTGCCATATGTTTGTATGTATCTATTTCTAATCATTCACATGTAAAAATTGCACCCCTGATTTTCATCTGCTTTTTTGTGAAAAAAGGTGTGGCTAAAACGTGACAATATGGTACTTATGTTACTAAAATATCTTATCAGTTACTGTTTGACTTATATCAGTTACTGACACTTTTATGCCCAAAACAAGTTTTTGCCATGCTAAGTTTAACTGATTACAACTTGTGATTTAAATTACTCTTAGGCAGAAAGCTGCCAGCCCTGGCACATCTTCAAGCAAATTTTCATCATGTGAACTCATACCCATGTGGGCTTCTTGCTACGTAGCATATTTTCCATGTGGGCACATTTTCAGAAGTCAATTTTGGAACTGAGTTTTATTCCATACACTTTTTGTAATAAAATCCTGTACAGTTATTTGAAACTTCACCTATGACACTAAATAAATTTACTTCTAAATTATTCCTCATCAACAATAATACTGATTTTGAACAAAAGAAAACCAGAGAAACAGCAATATATATAACAGAATATGGATTTAAAAATGCCCACAGTGATGTGAAAATTCAAAAAGTGCAAAAACAGACAGAAGGTAATAAATAGCTTTAATTGACTGTAAATTATCCTGCAGACAATGAATTTTTATAAATTATCTATGTAAAGAAAATATAATTTGAAAGCATGTAGAAAAATTATGTCAAATCACAAATTCATTACACATTGCAATGATCACATTGCAGTTTGATGATTCATAAATTGGAAAAAAATGTATGCAAAGCATCGGCTCAAATGTAAGTGAAGTTTTTTAATAAAACTTCTGACAATGAATATTGTAGTGTGCTTATATGTGCACCAAACAATTGAGGGATTGTGTGGGGGGGAGGGAAATGTGCTAATATATTAATTTTCACTCTTTTTTAACATAAGAATACATACATATATATATATATATATATATATATAGAATGACTGTGGCATTATTGTTTTATGATAACTCTGTGGAAAATTGCAATGGATTGACAATGATCCTCTGCATTATAACTGCATAGTTAGTTAGATGACACTTGAAGAACACACATAACGATAAATTCCACACGTAGTTTTATTCTTTGATAATGCACATCATCATTATGGGTGCATTATGCACCCCACAATTTGATACAGTTTACATTTCTTAGAGAATGGACAAAATTTAGAAAAGTAAACTCTACGCGGCTAGTGGCAATGCAAAGCAGTGAAAGAAAGCACGAGAAAAGAGAGGGAGCTGTGCTGCAATTAAACTTTTATACCATTTCAGATCACATGACATTTAATGTCCAGATGTCGGGTTCAGATTTCCTGGATAAGTGTGCATCAGAATTGCAGGGAAAATTATTGCTCTGTTATTTTTAGAATGAAGACTAAAGGGCTATTATTAATTTATTACTTGAAAGATATACATTTTATATATTACATATATATAGATAGATACCAGACAATTTTTAATTATCTTTTATAGAATAATTTAATACATAAACTGTACACATTAGCCATGCAAGTTAAAGTACGATTTATATAACTTTATTTATTGTAAGTTAATGTACGATTTATATGACATCATTAAAGTACAATTTTTCTCCCTTTCTATCTAAAAAATGCAAAGCAATTTTACAGTGATAAATAAAGCCTTTTAAAATCCATAAACCATTAACAGATAAAAAGCATAATTAATATGCATCTAAATCTTTCAGCATCACATTTTTACAGTTGAGTTACTACTAACAAATAACACAGCTAAAAAGTATTACCTTTGACGTGTATGGCAACCTATAATGGCTAGCTTGTTCAATGGACTCAACATAAGATGAGAATTACAGAAAGATATAATTGCATCTAAAAAACGAGGTATGATGCACTGGAAAGAAAAAAATCAAATTTTGAGAAAAACATTTTAACACAATGCACAGTAAAAGCCTCATTATTTGGCATTCAATTTATCATAAAGCAAATGTAACTGAGATATTTCAAAATTTTTTTAAACAGAAAAATTATTAAAAAGAGGCATTATAAAGCACATATAAGACTACAACTAAGAATCATGTTTATAACATCTAAATGTGAATACCCATGAATGATTCTCTTTTAGATGTTGCTAGCTCTTAGTTGTTAGCATCACTAATTGTTGTTTTGTTAACCTTCTAAAACCGGGCCGAAATTCTCATAATATAGCCTTCAGACCGGTGCGATCAGAAACAGTTTTGCCCCCTCTTTGACATTTTCCTAATGAGAAAAGTCGTTAGTCCCCCTCCATGGATGAAGTAAAATTTACATGTTTGTCGGATGCTTACGTCCTATAGTAGAGGTGTTGCTAGATTTGCAATTTTTTTCGATGATTATTTTGCTTTCATTTAAATGAAGTTCTAAATAATAGTGCATAATAAATATGCATACTGGATGCATATCCAGTGCATAATTTATTTAGAACAAAATATATGCAATGTTTATATTTTACTCACTATTTTGAATCAATCTCATAAATAATTTGTGAATTTTTTAACTTTGTTTTCACTCTTCATTTATATTCGCATATTTTCGTATTAGAAATTAGAAAGCGAGAACAAAATTTAACAAAATATAGTAAATACGAACTAGATTTGTAAGTCTTCAGGCTGGAATGCGATTTTTAATAACACATTTTCATTAATAAAATAATGGTAATGATTAATTTAATGAAATAATAATAATAATAATAATATTTATTACCATTAGATGATTAGAATGAGATTCAATACAATTAGATTTTGAGATGAACTTACAGCAATAATAAAGCTTTACATAACAATAACAGAGATTTAAATCTGCTTTTTTCGATAATTTTGTTATAATATAAAAATCCGAGATACATTGGTTGCGTTTAATCATTTAACTTTAACAAATATTACACTGGACTATCAGGCAAAGAAGGTTTATCTTTAACGAGAATTTTTCTTTGTAAAATTGGCTTTTGTTTATGTTAGCAGAGAAAAAAATCCATGACCTATACATGCAATCATCAAAAGAATTTTGAGAACAGTTTTAAATGTTCATGAAGAATTAATTATACGTCAATTTCTTTTCACAGGTAGAAATTTCGTCTAAAACCATCGTTGTATCCAAAGGTTGAAGTCTATTTCATTTTCAACGAATATTCTATTTGCACATAATATATTTTCTAATTTATTTTAGAAAGAGTAATCTTTCACATTTTCAAAAGAATAAGGACATACTGGGTGTTAACACAATGTAGTAAATCTGTTTTTCATATTTCTTTCAGTAATGAAAACGATTACCCTGGAATATTTTCAAAGCAAAATTAAGAAAACCGTTTACACCAAATTTTGCATAAAGTATCTTCTTGTGTATTTTTTTATTTAAAGTGTGGAATTTTCTCTTTGAAAATATCAAAAATCATGAACGGAGCAAAATTAATTCATGAGAAATAAGTTTAAAATGCAATAATTCCATCGTAATATGAAATAGTGGAGAAAAGTGCAATACAGTTTACTTATTCACAAATAATCCTCCTCATATGCGTAATTTATGTACTGTCGATTGAGAAATATAGGTTAGTAAATTAAACCGGTTATTTCAATACTTTTCTTTTATCCATATTTTTACGGGCTCTTCAGTAGAGCGGTAAAGGTGGCTGAACACTTGTAGCTCGCTTGGGTTTTAATCCCGGCTAAACAGTTGGATTCACGGTTTTTGTGTAACGTAAATGCAAGCCAGCTTCTCTCAGAAAGTTCTCTGTGAAGGCATAACTCCCCTTATAGAAGTAATTGTTGTGTGCTTTGAAATTCAGTAAGCAAACAAAATTAATCCAATCAAACCCGAAGAACGGGTTGATTACATGTGGAGTTTTCCACCAGGAACGTAAATGCGAGCAATTTTCTCTTAAAAGTTTTACACAAAAGCATCCATCCCCTTAAGCAGATAGTGTTTGCGTGCTTTTCCGTAATCCAATCCTAATTTTCATACATTTAAAAGTAAGTTAACATACACCTTATTTACAGACAAAATAACAACCTTTTTTAAAGATATTTTTTTATTAACTTGTCTGAATTCCCTTTATCTCTTGAGGAGTATAAGAATTTCAGCAAATAAAACTGGCCGAAATTTTATACAATGTAACTGATGTTTTCATTCAATTTAGAAGTAGCGTGAGCTTTACTGATATTTAAATACTTTTGGCAGATCTCATCCTAAAAGAGGGTCTAAAGATAAATTGATTTTATTTAATTTACAATCAATAAAATCATTGAAAGAAAGCATCACTGAATGAATTAAAATCACAAAAACTATTATGCATACAATTGTCTTCTTATTTATCTCCTGATAAATCAGACAAAATTGCCTACATAATAGAAGCACTTTGAAAGAGTTAACAGTTCTTAAGGGTTTTATGCACTCCACAAAAAAATGTCAAAATAAAATCTTATTACTCATGAGTATGAAAACGAAGTAAACGATAAAAGCGGTTTTACTTTTTTTCTAGAAGGGCATTAAATCTAAAATATTAATCTATTCTTATTTGTTATGATTAAAAAAAATTATATATGGTAAGCTTAAAGAGCATGCAAAATCGCTGACGTTTTAATCATAGCAAAAGTCAGTACTAAAAAAATTAGCATTAAAATTATGAGACAGATTGAGAAAGAGATGGCCTCTATTTGATTCTCAAGTATATTGGCGTGAGACGAAACCTGCAGTTTTTGCCAAAATGTAGCCAAACTGATAAGAAGAGGGAAATAATGCGTAGCCAGTGGCTAGTCTGAGCAGCGATAATGGACCACCCAGAGATCTACAGATAGGCAATTCTCTAAAATGGGGAGGGCATGGATGGTACGACAGTTATACCAATGCCAGCGTCTGAGAAAGTCATTCTCCTGGTACAACTGCTGTACCAACCGGCTTCAGAAAGTTAAGATGCTGCTAACACCACAATCATATTATTCCAAGAATTCATCTTTGATAGACATCTTTGATTGATCTAGACAGTTTAATCAAACTATTTCCAACAAATGAAAATGCATGCCAGATAGTACAATTTAGTACCAATAATGGATTAACAAGATGTAACAAACAATCATATGATATTCACCATGCTTTTATGTAAGCCTGATTAATTCTCAATAAGATGCTTTAGTTTCTGAAAAGAAGGCTATAAGCTAACTGCTATTTATTTACCCGCTTGCATTTTTTAAAAACAATTAAAATTTGATACAATTTGAATCAACAGCATGCAACAGAATATGTTCAAACTTACAGGATCCTCACATCAAGAAATTGCATCATGGGTATGATATATGGGTTTATTGAAAAATGGGAATGCAGCATAAAAAATTATGGTAAGTGGTTTAAGTTCTTTTATATGATACACCTATAACTTGTATTTATTGATTATCTAACTAAATAAACAGTGGTCTGTTCCTTCAAACAGCTACTGGTATCGTTGGCACAAATTTTGCCAGCTTTTATGATTGATGGTAATTTACAACCAGCTCAGATGTTTTAGTTTTATATTTCTGAAGCTTGTGAAAATACTTTGGCTTTTATGGCTGAAATGCACTTTTCTTTCAAAATCTTGCATAATTTTAAACATAGGCCTTAAATAGCAAATAATATGACTGTTTTTAGAATTTTAACTGAAAATTTCTTCTTCCATTTATTTCAATTTTCTACTGTGAATTGCATTTCTCATATGCTCCATTATCTGGAGCTTGGTATTTCCCAAACTTTCTTGACAGTTGAGCTTTTACTAGATATTAAAAATATAATTAGACTATGCTATGTGCACACTAAACGTAAAAAAAAACATTAAAAACAGCAATAAAAAGAAGTATCTATTGGCACCTCACAAGCAAAAGTAAAATATAAACTATTAAAAAAATTTCAACTTGAAAACCAGATTACAGCTTGGACCTCAATTATTAGATTTAAACTAAAAGCACATAAACACAGTTAACTTTTTTTTTTTTCAGCAAAACATATAAAAAAATAACGGCAGAAGCATAAACAAGGATTATATAAATATTACTTTTTAACTTTTTCAAATATTTGTTCTATAGCAGTTTGTTCTAAAATTTTCAGATATTCTAGTTTCAGCCCCCTTACTTCATGCAAATTTATGTAAAGCCATTCTTGATTTGTTTAATAGCTTTTCTAAAAATTTTGGTACTTTTTGATTATTTACCCAACACTCCAAAGAATTTGCCAAGCAAAGCAATATGTTGCTAAAATAAGCAACCCTTGACATTGCCAAAATGTACTTATTGGCAACCCCGGTATGCATGCACACACAACAGTCGGTCATTGGTGTTTGCTTTTGTTATTGAGTGCATTTTTAATTCTTGTAAGAAACTATAATGGAATCTGAAGTTTGAAGGCTTATGAAAAAGAAAGTGTTGCATTTCTACAAAAATATGGCATTGTGTAAAATAATAGCGAATGCAAAAACCTACATTCCATAAAGCACAGTAAACATGTGACTATGAGAAAAGCTCGGGAAATGAGGAATTCTGGATAAGTGAATATTCTGGATAATTGAGCATTTAAAAAATGCAATTTAGGGTAGAAAAGCTAAATAAGCAGGAAAAAAATTTTCAAGTCTAAAATTATAAAAAGAGTTATTTGTTATCAAGTTAAATATCAAATGCCTACATTTAAATTATGTGAGATTTCAAAAGCAAAAAGGGTATCACAAACATAAATCTGAAGTAAAATTATCACATTCGATTATTAAACTCCGTCGACCATGAAAATCGGCAGACATCACATAAAACTTATGCCACTCATTCCAGCAGAAGTTTGAAAGAACAGACTGTTCTTTATTTAGTTAACCAACATATACAAGTTATGGACATAACATATAAAACA